CCGGGGAGCGGGAGCGGCGCCGCTCTGTCCGCCTCGGAACGGCGCGCCCGCGTCCTGATGCCACTGCGCGCGCGGGAAAGTGAGGCCCAGCCCGGCGCCGCAGGGGAAGGAGGCCGATCAAGCCCGCTCCAGACCGGCGGCGTCGCTCCGCGGCTTTCAGAGCGCGGTGGCCTGAGGCTCGGCCAGTCCCGCAACTGCCTGGCCTCAGTTTCCCCGTCCGGAAGCGAAGGCTTTCCCCGGGGGCGCGCCGAGTCCACCCCCTCCCCGGTCACCCCGGGCGCCCCGCACAGAGCGCCGCTGTCTCGACCTCGTCCCTCGTGTGAAGGGAGGTGCGGGGCGCGCCGGAGGGGGGTCGGCCCGGGGACGGGGCAGCGGGGCCGGAGGGGGTCGGCCCGGGGACGGGGCAGCGGGGCCGGAGGGGGTCGGCCCGGGGACCAGAGGCTGGAAGGCAGCAGCGCCGCAGCCCACCGACAAGCCGCTCAGCCCGCCCGATCTCCCCCAGGCTTCCTCCTCCTGGCCAGCCTTGCTCTCCTGGCGCGCCTCGGTTTGGCCAGGAGCCTCCCCAGAGCCGCACCGGTCGCAGAAGCGCTCCAGTGCCGGAACCACTCCCAAAGCCTGCTGCGGGCCGTGAGCAGCGCGCTTCGGACGGTGAGTGCGGTGTCCTCGCACCTCACAGCCCTCTGCCCGAACAACGTCCCTGACGCCACACCGGTACCCGAAGGAACTGCAGGGAAGTGTAATTCAGGAGTAGCTGTCAGGAGGCGGCGGCGAACTTTACAAACGGCTTCACTATTAACTAGAGTCTCAATGAAACTGTGTCCCCAGAGACAGCAAGGGTGGGAATAAATTAAAACGGCATTCACTTTGGCCGGTTCTACAGAGAGGAAAGTAGATATTTAGTGTTCTCCGCAGCCTGCGAACGTGGGTGGAATTTTGTCGGGCGCACGCTGATTTTCTGACATTGGGTGTTGATCCAGAAAACAGTGATTAGATGCACTGTCTGTGCTATCCGAGCTACACAGCTGATTTAGATTGTCCCTTCCACTGTTTGCCAGTATCCGATGTGGGGACAAAGTTCAGTGTCAGGGCCGCACATCTCAGGGAGAGCTCTGACTGTGTGTCCAGCCTGTACTTTTTAGAGAAGAGTTGTCCAATTTTCTTTACATCATTCTTTTTTTCTGTCCCATATTTCGTATTTTAATGCAAACTAAATTCTATTCCTTTTTGGTTAAACTGCTCCAATTAGCTCTTGCTTTTACTGCACAAGACATAGCAAAGACGAGTGTTTTAATCAATGTCCTAGGGATGGGAGGCTCAGTGATAAACTGTTTGCTTAACTACGTCTGAGAACCTGGGTTCCTCCACCAGCACCACCCTTCCCCACCCCCCACAAAAAGATCCTTTTACCTTTCTGCTCTCTGGTAAATCTTGAAAATTTTATAATAAGTTCAAGGCCAAAAGGCCTCCTTAAAGAACTCCTTTCTTCTTTCCTTCTAATCTTTCATAATGGACTGACAATTGCACCTCATGGTTCAATCGATCTTAATTAAGAAGGAGCCTCAGCAAATGAAACCGACAGAGATAAGTGCTTTGTTTCCTGGAGAAAGATTCAATACTGATAAGATGTAGGTGCTCCAATTTAAGTAGATGCCGGATGTGATAAAGCTGACTCCTGCAGTCCCGGGGGTGGTGCTGAAGGTCAGAACATTTCAGAATTCAGTTTGGTGTTTTATACCATGACTTTGTCAATTTTCCAGGCTAACCAGCTGCTGTGCAAAACAGACGTGGCAGATGCGTGAGATTCACAGGCGCACAGATTTGTAGGCTGTGACTCCTATTGTTTTTATTTTATTTTAATATTTGAGTTGGATGCCGTCAAAAATTAGAACGTTCACACAAGAATCTAAATTTTCAGCTTTCTTTGAAAAGATCTGAAGGACCACAAAGGGTCCTCATATTCTCTCTCTCTAATCCCCCTAAATAGTGGTTGCCCAGGACCACCAGACACTTAAAGAACAGTGTGTGCATTTTCTGTTGCTGCTGTTATAGATTACCACAAATTTAGTGGCTTTTTAAAACAATGTATTATCTTACAGCTGGGGTCAGAAGTCCAAGGTAAGACCCATTGGGCTAAAATCAGAGCGCCTGCAGGTCTTGCATTCCTTTGAGAGAATGCGAGAATGTGCGACCCGGCCCCTTCCAGATTCTGGAAGCTGCTGCATCCTGGATTCAGGCTCCCTTGTACCTTTTAAAGCCAGCACTGGGGTTTAGCTCACTGTTACAGTGCTTGCCTGGCATGCATGAGGCCCTAGGTTCCATTCCCAGCACCACAGAAGAAAATATAAGCCAGGGAGGAGTGCGCGTTTCTTCTTCCTGCTGATCACCCTGACTAGCTCTTGGGCCTCCCTCTCCATCCAAAACGACCCTGAGGGTTGCACCGGGCCTACCTGGATCCCGGGATAGTCTCTGCCATAAAGCTGGCTGATTAGCAACTTGAAGGTCACCTGCACTTCCATTCCAGCTTTGTCACGTTACATAACCTATTCCCAGGCTCCAGGGGTGGGGAAGTGGACACCTATAGAGGTGAGGGCATTAGACTGCCTACCACAGAGAGGGATTGTACTGCTTGGGCCCAAATATGTTCTGCTGTTTCAGGCCTTGGCTCATGACTCACGCAGTTCCCTCAGCCTGAAACCTGCCTCCTCTGCCCATAACTCTCTAGTCTTCTTCCTGCAAGCGGCTGATCTCCAGTGAACCCTTTGCTTCCCGCTCTGGGGGCTCCTAGAGTCTTTTTATTTGTTTGTTTGGTTTTTGTTTTTCTCCTGGCACCAGGAATCGAACTCATGACCTTGCGCTTGCCAGGCAGGCACCTTGCCGCTGAGCTAAATCCCCAGCCCCCTCTCCTAGAGTCTTAATACCCTTACTTCTCAGCAGCTGACAAGTGTTCAGGCACATGCTTGTTCTCACAGCTACACTTGGAGTCCAGCAGAGCATAACACAGCCTTCTTCTTTGTTGAGTCCTTAGTACCAGAGAGCCTGACACACATCAGGCTTGTTGACTGGAAAACTAATCTCAAGCTTCAAACAGAAAGTCACTGACACCTTAAAATGCTTTGCATAATTCTGTCCAACAGTGCCTGCCGGCATGCCAGGAAGATGACATCTCTGTATGTGTATTGCATGTGTTGATACTGCAAATTAAATCTCAGCTAGTCGTTTGCTTGTTTGTTATAGCCATCAAACTGTGACCTTAACCGTTCCCCTTTAGAAGTCATACTTGAGAAATATATTCATAGAACAGAGGCACTTTGGCAAAAGAATAAATGGCTTCACCAGAAGCAAGTGTCACAGTGTGGTGTAGCTGCTGATTAGCACCACCTGTTGGGATGACTTACAATGCTTATATAATGGAAAAAGATGTTAACCAGAGGAACATGCCCTAAGCTAAGGGACGGAAGAGGGAGCAAGAGAATGTAAGTGACCTATTTTACCTTATGAAGATCCCAAATTTCCTACAGGTCAAGGACACTGAGGTTCAGAGCAGCCAGTTCAAATCAGGCATTTTTATTAGTAGTAACAACTGAGCTTCTCATCATGTTTGTTTTTTTTTTTTAATAGGCCGGACAAACGCTAAAATCTTACTCCTGCAGTCCTGAAGAGATCGATCATGAAGATATCACAAAAGACAAAACCAGCACGGTGAAGGCCTGTGTGCCCCTGGAGCTAGTCAAGGTATATGTCCTTTCTTTCCAAAGGACACAATAAAATGAAGAGCTGTGCACCAGACCTCAGCTGTCAAAAATTTGCATGTTTCTTGTGCCCATCAGAAATTAGATTTTGAAAGCCAGGTGTGATAGCACACACTTGTAATAACAGCATTCGTGCAGCTGAGACAAGAGGGTTATCACAAGTTCAGGCCAGCCTGGGCTCCACAGTGAATTCCAGGCAAGTCTGGACTTGTAGCAAGATCCTATCTCAAAAAAAAAAGTTAGATTTTGAAAAAGAACTATAAAAAACAGATAGTTTTCTGGCACAACAATATGAATATACTTAAAATCTCTAAATTATGCACTTAACGATACTTGAAATGATGACTTGTACATTATATATTTTTGCCTTAATTTTGTTAGAGATGAAACATCAGAAAGATTTATATTAAGAATATATATGCTAATTGGGGCTGGGGATTTAGCTCAGCAGCACAGCGCCTGCCTGGCAAGCGCAAGGTCGTGAGTTTGATTCCCCATACTGGAAAAATCAAAAAAACAAACAAAAAAGAATATATATGCTAATTTATTACATTTATACTACTAGTTTCTCTTAGTTCGCTGAAGAGAAAGTTTTGTGCTTTTATCCATTTGTTTTTTCTTTGTAAGAGTCTTTTGTCTATAGCTTGTACTCTGAGTAGCATTTGGGCCATTCTTTTAAGATTATAATGCACAGTGTATTAGCTATTGTTATTCTCTAATTATTTGGTTATGAAATTTTGTTTTTTCACAAACATAAGAAAGCTTTTTAATATTTCCTTTGTGTATGTCTACTTGTGTTATATTTTAAAATTGTTAAAGAATTAACAACTTTGATATGTGCTTTTTTTCTCTAGAATGAGAACTGCCTGGCTTCTGGACAGCCTTCTCTCAGAACTGTAAGTAAAAAAACTAAAGGTTTCCTCCCATGTGATGGATTCAAGTTATTGATGTCCGTTTATTCTTTCTCTAGAATGGGAGTTGCCTGACTTCCAGAAAGACCTCTTTTATGATGGTGAGAAACATCATTCTTTCCTCAAATACAATGGAGGGTAACGTTTTTAGTCCATATCAATGGTTTCTGTTCTATTTTGCCATGTCATTCAGGTGCTGTGCCTGAATAGTATCTATGAGGACTTGAAGCTCTACCAGCTGGAGTTCAAGGACGTGAATGCAAAGCTTTTGATGGATCCTCAGAGGCCGATCTTTCTAGATCCAAACATGCTTTCAGCTATTGATGAGCTGATGCAGGTAAGACCTCATCCTATTAGTGAGAGCACCTTTTCATGCTGAAGGTAGCCATCCCGGGTCCTTGATGAAGGGGAAGAAAATTACTCCTCCCTGGATTAGGAGAAGCGTGAACATCCCCCTTTGAAAGACGCTGAAGAGAGGGCGCCCTCTACAGGAAGCACAAATGTGGGCAGGACCATAAAAAGCCATCCTTCACTTGTTGACCACAGGTGTGCATTAGGCTCTTTGCAGATAATTTCATGCATTTTCTTCTGTCATCTCCCAAACAACCACATGAAGTCTCTGCAGAGGAGCAAACTGAAACAGAAGAGGGTTAAATCACTTGTGAGAGGCAGAGTCCCCTTCCAAAGGATCCTGCTGCATTTGTCTTATCACTCACCTCTAGAGGGCAGCAAATATTGCTAGAGGAAAAAAGGCTGGGCTCCGGCCTCACTATGACACATTTTGAACCAAAGGGTGAACACAATAAAAGAATGGACTGTCATCTGGGACATTCATGCAGGAACTTGCTGTGCAATTTTCTGGGCCAATATAGCATAATGCACTAGTGCAGAACATACAAATAGGCGGATAAGAAATAGGATGAATGGCTTGGTACCTGAGGCATAGGATGAAAATATGGTGGCAGAAATCAGTCTGAAAAGTAGCTGATTTTTTTATTTCGTGATTTTATTTGTGTGTGTATGTGTGTGTGTGTGTGTGTGCATGCATGCACACTCACACCGTACCTCTTACCTGTTTGAAAGGCAGTGAACTTCATGCAAGTTTCAAAGAATCTTACCATGCAGAGACTTGTGGTTGAGAAGTTGCTATTTCATTTTTAGGACAATAACTCAGGGGATTTTGGCAGTGGAATCAATTTTCCCAGTAACCAGGCAACTATATCCATGTCCGTGAACCCCACTGTGCCTCAGTTTGCTCCTTTCTAAAATGGGATGGCTTTGTATACCCTACCTTTCTTTTAGGCTTTTTGTGATAAGCAAGTGATAGCACTGATCATCATTCAAACCACACATATAATATGTTCTCAAATCAAAAGCTAAACTTGGGAAAGTCCATTGCAAGGTTTATTTCTCTTACACAGATGTTTCTACAGCAGATGGGTCTATCGCTGATAGAAGGCTCTGATTAGTCGCAATCCATAACCTCTGTTCTAAAGAGTACTGGGGCTTTTTTTTTTACTGAGAATCAAACCCAGGAACTCGTACTTGCCAGGCAGGTGCCGTGCCCCTGAGCTACATCCCCAGCAGGACTGGGACTTCTTAATGTAACGTATAAAAAATTAATTAGATATTGCAGCAGATGTCATCTTGACAGAATTGGTCCTTTCTAAAACACAACTCTGCTGACAATTTTCTAAGCCACTTTAAGGGTCTTTTCAGAGCTCACTGAGGATGCACATCCTGAGAGATGCGTGCTCTCTGTCTCAGATTCTGCCTGCCCACCTGGCTGGGATGAGATCTGGGCTGGCTTTGGGAGCGTAATGAGGGACTGGGTGGCGGCTCCAAGGCATAGATTGGCTTCACTCCTTTTCACAGGTGAATGTTTTCTTCTTGAATACTATGTATGCTGTGCTCCCTATTTGCTCTTCTAGGCCCTGAATGTCAACAGTGAGACTGTGCCACAAAAACCTTCCCTTGAAGACCCAGATTTTTATAAAACTAAAGTGAAGCTCTGCATACTTCTTCATGCTTTCAGAATTCGTGCGGTGACCATTGACAGAATGATGAGCTACCTGAGTTCTTCCTAAAGGGCTGAGGTCCCTCCCGACCTCGGTGTCACTTTTATAAAATTTGGCCCAAAGAAATTTTAATAAGCTGGGGGTTAGGAACTGGGGAGGGAGAAAGAGAGACTTGGTCATACTTAAGCTCCTGCAAGAATCCTCTTGCTTCTATTATAATAGTGTGCCCCATTTGAAAGGTGGTGGTACTATGTCTACACAATCCGTTTAATCAGGTGACTTTCACATTTACATTTTAGTATTTATTACTGGAAAGTTTTTTTAAGTTTTTATAAGCAAATTGCTACTGAGAGAAAATGTCCTTCCCGAATTTATTTCTTTCCCTTTAAAAGAAGAGCAGAATTGATAAGCTATTTCCGTGCCAGTGTTCGTAGACACACTCAAGCATCGTTTATTTAAAAATATTTATTGATATATTTTGTATTCATAAAATCATATGAACTAATTTATATTTATTTATATTATATTTATTAAATTATTTTTATCCTATGCATATGAAACTTATCTTGTAAATGGTGAATAATAAAGCAATGGAATGAAAATAATTCTTGTGTGTTTGGGATGTTTCCGTGTTAGAATACACATTTTGGGAAAACTAAAAACTGTGATGAAATTTAAACAAAATGACTTCAAAGATGACCACAAAGTCCTCGCCCATTTCCCGGTTCCCTTAATCCCAATTTTAGAAGGAATCTGGTAAGATTAAAGGGGCTTCAATAGTGAGGTGACCAGTGAGCTGTGGTTTCTGAGAGTTTGCTTTTTAATTTCTATTCAGCGTCTAAGTCTAAAGGTACACTACACACAAATGTTAACCACAGGCCTATGACACAGAGTATTTTAGACAAATAATCATAATATTCTTCTCTTGGAAAAAATATCACCAAGAGGACTTCTTAAATTATTCTGATTTTTATAAACTCAGGAGGGAGTTCTCTTTTCATTATAAACAGAAAAGCTCTCAATTTGTCTAAAATTGTATAGAACATTTGCCTGAACCACATGTATAATTTTCTTCCACATATATGACTTCCTGACTTAGAGAATAGTAGAATAGTAGAACTTAGAGAATAGTAGATGCTTCCTGACTTAAGAGATTTCTGCTGCCTGGCAAGTGCAAGGTCCTGAGTTCGATTCCTGGAAACAAAAAGAAGAGAGAGATCTCTTCTGTATGAGCTAAACATTAAATCCCACCTTTCCAATTCTCTAAACAATGTAAATTTTAAAGAGATTCTCTCTACCAAATGCCACGTTATTTTAGTACTTTGATAATCCTATTGCTCCTGAACGGAAAAGGGCACACGATCCTGAACATTTCCCGCGGCTCCTCCCCACCAGGTCCTGTCCTCGTCCCTGGGAGCCAGCAGTCCCAGGATTCCCACGGGGCACACTCGCTCACCGCTCAGCTTGTCACCCACTGGCCACTCCATCACACAGACACGTCACCTGATGCCAAGCCCAGCACATCTCCTCCCTGAGTGATTCCTCCAGAGCCCGAATGAGCTGCCGGTGTTTCCTAGACAAGGGCTTCTGTACTCTCCAGCGTGGCCGGAGGTTCTGGAGCACTGGCCCCGGAAGAGCCCTGTGGCTGTCGACTTCCTCAGATGGCCCCGGCTACTGTGGGTGTAGAAACAAGAAGGGCAAAGGGCTGGCCCCCTCCATAGACTCGGTCCACACAAAGGGACCTGGTGCTACTTTGGTTCTCGAAATCACCATAAAGTACACTTCAGAGCATGAACGGCCCAAAAGACGTCTTCACGACTAATTCCTTATCACGTGGCCAGTGCCCCACTACTTCTTTCTTTTAGGCCCAAGCCTGCACTTCGCCAACTGTGTGGCATGACCAGGTGGATTAATGGCTTCCTCCCTGAGTTCTTTTCTGGGAAAGATGATAAATAATAGTAGAACCTGCCTGGAAGGAGCGGAGTGAGTTAAATGGAGTGACTTCTGCAGAGCCCTGCACCTGGCACAGTCAGTGAACAAAAATGCTGGAGAATCTGAAACACTATCATTAGTCTTTGTCCTTGGCAATCCTGCCAGGTTGCTTAAAACTCTCTTTGCTGCTGTTTCCTTCTGTGGGATTCTGAGACAGTGGAGCGACCTTCACGACACCGTTGCGAGGATTAGGCCCCACAGTAGGGCTGGTGCCCACCCGGAGCTCAGGTCAGTGTGTCAGGAGTCTTAGGTTCTTGGCTTGATGCCCTTGGCTTGCTGTCCCCCACTGCACTCAGTCTACTGAGTGGGGTCAGCACATGCGGCTCCTGGGGCAAGGGAAAGTTCCAGAAGCCAGGGTCCTCAAAGTAGGACCAAAAAGCAGGGAACCGTGTAATTTATAAAGACTGAATCCTCCCTAGAAATGTTGCTCTGTCACAGCTCTTTAGAGATTCGTTTGACTAATAAACTACTTCATTAGAAAAGAAAAGCTGCGAAAGTGTCTCTCTCTAATCTAAGAATGACTTCAGGCAGTGAAACAAAACCTTCAGCTGCAGCCACTCCCCAGGGCGCAGAGCTTTGGGGACAGAGAACAGTGCTGCTTTGGCCACATAGGGAAAGACAGTAACGGAAAATCAGGGCATGCAGAAGGGCTCTAGACACACCAAGGAGGAAAGCAAACAGGGACAGAAAGGGAAGCAAACAGCTCTGTGGGGGGCCAGCTCGGAAGGCCACCATGCATCCTCTCGCCTGTGTCACTGAGAGCCACTCAGCTGCAGTAAACATTTGGTTCCAGTTACCGTAACACTGGCTTAAGCCACAGCGCATACAATTTTTAAAATAACGAAAAGCTCCAGCCACATTTTGCAAAAATTGAATTGTAGGTACCTGAAATATTTTGAATTAATTTTTTAATCTGTGGATGGTGGTACATGTGTGCTTATAGGCTCAGCTACTCGGCAGAGGGAAGCAGGAGCCCAGTAACCTAGGGCCAGCCTGGGCAGCAGAGTGAGAACCTACTGCAAAGCGTTTTTTTAATTGAATGTGTATTAACTTTTGGGTTGGAATGTATTTCGCACAAACGAGCATAAAAATACTTTGATCTTATCTGTGTATCTTTATACATGATATTAAAAATATAAACGTAAGGCTCAGGATGTAGCTCAGTGGGAGTATTTGCCTCACAGCTGCAAGGCCCTGGGTTCCATCCTAGGTACCACCAAAACAAAATGACAGAGAGAAGAATGATGACATCAATATAATATTAGAGAATATATCCATGGAATCTTTTTGAGAAAATACGGTAGCCATGGCTTTGTGTATCCTAGATAAGTTTTCCTGTGTTTACCACAGATAGAAAAGGAGCCCAAGGCAGAAGGCCATGCAAAGTCGCCTGGCGAGTAGATAGCAGAGGCTGATTTGCAACCGCATACCCAGGTGGCCAGTTCCCCACAATGCAGGCTTTGCCTCTCATACTAAGATCACTGTATAATACAGCCGCCATTGTTAATTTCCTATCACCTTGTCTGAAAATCTGTATTGTTTGTATTGTTTTTGTGTTCTTTTCTAAATGTGTGTTTGTTAATATGTTTCATTCTCTTGTGTTTAAAATTTTAAAAATTAAAAAAAAAATAAGATCACTGTAAGTCAAGGGATATTTTCACCATAACCATGCACACATCATCAGAATGACTTAGGTTCCAGTACTCACCTCATTACACTGGGAGAGCTACAAATCTGGGATGTGTTGTGTCACTTACATTTTTGTTTCCAGCCCTTGGCCCTCAGAAATAGAAGAGAGAAAGGAAGCCATAATAGGCTCCCACGTTTTTCATTTCTTTTCCTAATCAAAATGTAAACAGGAAAGACTTCAATAGCTTAAAAGGAAATTATTTCTAATTACCAAAAAAGGTTAGTAAATTAAAACTCCATATGCTTGCCTGTTTGCTTCAAAACAACTATGCATGTTTGTAATAAGAAAAGTTTCCAAAATATATAAGCCTCTTAATTAAGTGAAAATAATTTCAACATCTAAAGTTGTGTGCTTGCAACACAAAAAATGTGTTGGGCTGGGAGTGTAGCTCAGCGGTAGTCTTGCCTTGCATGTACAATGGTTTCAATCCCGAGGGCTACAAAAATAAAACACACACACAAACAAAACAAAACGTGCTACCAAAACACCACACTTGTGAACTGAAAAGTGTTTTCCTTCCTGTTAGGGTGCAGAAGTCTTAGAAACACACTATTGGGCAACAGTTTCAAGACACTCAAGCAATCCTTCACTTGCTGGTTTCCACACTGCCTATGACAAAGCAAGTTAGGCGTCCAGCAGGGCTCCTAGTAACTCCTCAAAACCCCTCTCCCTCAATGAACACCTCCAAGGAAGCCCTTCTTTTGAATCGTTTCTAGTATAGGTTCCAGGTTAGATTCCTTGCACAAATGGCTTAAAGTAAAGTTTAAAAAAACGAACAAACAAACCAGATTAACCCATCCCTATAGCAGTTCTCATCAGTAGAACCGTCTTTTAGATTTCCAAACTTGTTAAGAAGAAGATCCTGCTACAAATGTAAGGAGCATCATCCTATCTGAAAATCAAACTTGTGCCAGACGTTAGAGCAAGCAGTACTAATGAACTCGAGCAGAATATGGATGGCCGGCTGACCCCAGGGATCCTAATAGGGATGTCCACCAGGGTGGGAACAAACTTGACTTCAACCCACCTAAGGTCTGGGGTGCAGCTGAAGGACCCAGCTAATAAGCAGCAGGAACATAGGGTGTGATATGCCCAGAATTCACCAGGGTCTCCAGTTGATGTGAGCAGCTGGAGAGCCATTAGCAGAACTCTCCCAACCATTCTATGTGGGCAGGGAGGCCAAGGACTGCTGTCACCTGGAAGCCCACAGTCCCAGCAGTGAATCCCTAGCTCCTCAGCCGGAATCAAGCCTTCGGCAAGCAGCGTGCTACTTCACCCCAAGAAGGACTTGCACAACGTGACCGTGCCACCATCCAACTGCCCGGAACCGCCATTCTCAGGAGGACACATTCAAACATCAGCAAATAGAGTGGCCTCTTTAGAGAGTGGAGTGAAATGTGCTTCCACATGGAAAGGCAGGGGAGGAAACTCCCCCTAAATCCATGAAAGCATGTGACCCCGTAAGCACCATGATGTGAGGAAAAGTCCCCTGTCAAGAAAGATGCTCTGGCGAGGAACCATTCAACCCTGGGGGGAAGGGATACTCTACTCACTCTCATAGTGAATGAATAAGGGGGACATGTGGGTTGTCTCAACATGGAGGGCCCTGGGTGACCTACTTTACCTGGTCTATACTCACTGTGGATGGTGGTACATGTGTGCTTATAGGCTCAGCTACTAGGCAGAGGGAAGCAGGAGCCCAGTAACGGAGGACCAAAGCAAGCACTGGAGTACTGAACTCAAAGCCAGTTGTCACCCACAGAGCCATGGTGATAACAAGCATGGAATAAGATGCTTTAAAAAGTCACTTGTGGGCTTGGGATGTGGGTCAGTGGTACAGCCCTTTCCTGGTAGGTGCAAGGCCCTTGTCTGATCCCCAGCATTGTGAAACACAAAAACAAAAACAAAAAAGTGACTTGTAAA